GCATGGTTTCGTACCGAGAACAGAAGTATCATTTCTTAATGACTGTGTAGGTCGAGAGTAAAACTCTCTTCCTCGTTGCCTAGAAGATATCCACTCGCACCTGCGCAGCATTGCCACAAAAGTTCACAGAAAGAAATATTTCAAACTCGTAACACTCCCCGCCAATTGGATTCTTAATCCAATATTTCTATCATTTATAAAACAATACAATATAAAATTAAATGAAAGTTATACAGCAATTACACTCAAAGTGCAATAGTAATGTTAAATATAGAAATGAAACTTAAATACAATAATTAATACACAGGTAACATACAAATATATTGTACAGATCTTTTAAGTATCTTGCCTTGTGACAAGCGTATGTTTGTTCACAACTCTTACTTTCCCATCACGTCCAGTGAGTATTTCTTCTATTCTTCCTGTTAACCACTTGGTGCATGATAGGTTTTCTTCCTTTACCAGCACCAAGGTTCCAACATTTACGTTATTCTTACTGAACTGCCACTTATGGCGTTGTTGCAAATTATTTAAGTAATCTCTTTTCCAAAGCTTCCAGATTTTGAGAGCATCTGGAAACCTTTTCCGACTTGCTAAGCCTATTTTCATTGATATTTGTACGTGGGGGTTCTGCTATGGAAGTGATGGATCTCTCAATAAGGAAATGCCCTGGGGCTAGGGTTTCAAAATTATCAAAATCAGCTGACAATGGAGTCAATGGTCTGGAGTTTAGAACTTCTTCAATTTCCGCTAATACTGTAGTGAATTCTTTTAGAGTAAAATGAGAATTTCCGGCTGTGTGTTTTAAATGATACTTAAAGGATTATATTTTGTTACGGCATAAATTTCTTCCGAATACCCACTTTGGACAAATTTTAAAAGAACAAATTCTGACTTGTTCAACTCTTGACACTTCAGATACCCACCTTTTTTGTTTTTTGGGTTTCTACAGTTATAAATAATTCTCAAAACATAAGAAACTATACGAATAAGTTTAGAAAAATTATTAGTAATTTTAAGCAGATCATTATGAAGCAAAACATTCTGTTTAGTTACAGCTAAACATAGAGGTATATCTCCTTCTACACAGGAACCTTTTTTCAATTTTGAAATATAATATTCTTCAGGAACTGAATTATTACCCTGAAATACTGAGACTACATTTTTTCTTGAGAATTCAGGACCTGACTACCAGGTCTCATTTTTTAAAAGATCTTTTACACTAGCCTCTCTTGTTACAAGGTCAGCTATATTTAGTTTACCAGGATGTGTGACCAAACTTCAGGATTGCTAAGAGCTTGAAGCTCTTTCAGGCGATTGGAAACAAGCTGTTTCCACCTATGATGAGGTCCTTTAATCCAGAACAATGTGATCTGGGAGTCTGTCCAAAAATGAATTGTAGGTGTCCCTTTTCGTTTTACAATTTGTTTTATTTCTTTTTCAAGTCTGGCTGCCAGCAATGCCCCCATGAGTTCAAGTTTTGGTAGAGTCAGTTTCTTTAATGGGGCAACATGACTCTTCGAAGCAATTAAGTTTACCGAGATTTTGTCAACATTTTTAACTCTTAAGTATACTGGAGTTCCGTATGCCCTTTGGCTGGCATCGGAAAAGACGGGGATTTGAAGTTCATTGGCATCACCTAGGCTACCGTCAAGGATCATCCTAGGGACTTGTGAGTTTGTAAAATCAGATAACTCAAGTTTCCATTGAGTATACGTTTGAAGAAGGTTTGCTGGAAGTTCTGCATCCCATGAACACTTCCTAAGCCATAGTTCTTGGAATAGACATTTGAGTCTGATTGTAAACGGCATTAGAAGACCAAGCACATCGTACAATTTCCCCGCTGTTTTTAACACAGTTCTTTTTGTAACACTTTCTCCTTTATTAAACTCGAGTAAATTTTTCACATCAATGGTGATGTAGTCTTGATGCTCGTGCCATGGAAGACCGAGAACCTTTTGTAGTTTGTCAGTAGGACTGGACTCTGAATGAATGGGATGGATCTTGAACCCCTTGTCTTCCCATATTTGTAACAGTTCCTTGCTGTTGGAACTCCACTTACATAAATTCATTCCTGCATCAGCCATAATCCTTTTGGCTTCACACGACATGTGAAAGGCAGATGAGACGTTGTCGAAAGCTCCAACAAAATCGTCGACATACAGACATTTATCATGCATTTCCACCATCGCGGAATGCATCTCTCAGAACTTTTCGATGTGTTCTTTAATGGTGGCAGACAGCAAGAAAGGACTGGCTTTGACATCAAACAGAGCATGGCAAAATCTGAAAATATGGATATCATAATGTTCATTTGTACCTGGGTTTTTACTTGGAAACAGAAATCGTACTGCATTTCAATCCTCTTCATGCAAAGATATCTGCTAAGACGACCACTGCATTCAAACGGAAGAAGACAAGCATGTTGAACATCGTATAAGACAAGCAGCGTATAAACAGTCATTCAGAGAAAAGTTGTTCATGTACATTGGCATCAAAAATGATTCGTTTCTTGGAACTGACAGAGTCTCTGTGAACCATTGAAAATGGTAGATAAAACAGAGGCTTTACACTTTCTAACTTGTCATTGGAACTTTTTCGATGATACTGTGAGTTTCATAATCATTCAGTATCTCTCAGTAGTCGTTATAAAGTTCTGATTATCTCTCAAATTTTCTATTTAAATGTTTCAGTCATCTCCTGGCAACTGCTAAATTATCACTTAATTCCTTAAAGTCGCACTTCCATGGTAACCCCAACTTCGTACCTCCCTTCCTTATAACACACAGAATTCTTAAAGAGTGTTATGGCCATAACTTCCTCATCTGAATGTACACTTTGGAGAACTCCAATTGATTCTAATTTCCAAAATTGTCTTAAACCCGATCTTGTATAACACGATCTTGTATAAAATAACTTCAATAATTACTTGGATACACGACGGGAATAGAAACCATTAGCATCCATCCGAAAACTGTTTCAATTAAAGTGATAGAATTACCCCTCAACTGGATTTGGTTTTCCCTTAATAATTCGTAAAACACTTCACCTCCCAAAAGAAGCCATATTTTTTTAGGTAAATAAAATTTAGGATTAGCATACTTTATATTTGCTGGCAATTTTAAATTTTTGACATCTATTTTTTCAGCTGGAACATTTCCAGCAATTTCTGGTAAAATTAAGAAGTCAAGTTCCTTACTCAAAGATTCTTCGTCGTTAGCTATGCGCGTACAAATTTTATTTTTTCCGTAATCGGAACTACAGTATTTTTTAATCCAATTGAATCTGCTCTACACCTCAATCTTTGAAAGCCTAATAAATCAGCTGCTTCCTCAGTTATTAAATTTCGCGTTGAGGCTGAATCACATAAAGCATTTAACATTAACCATTCCCAATTAGATTGCCTTAAATTAACTGTGACCGTGGAGAGAAGAACATTTTTGTTTGTATTAAGCGATTAAAAACAAAAAGCATTTTGCGTTTCGCTAACTGAGCCGTCTGGCACCAGTGATTGCGCAACACTTGGTTTCAAAATTCCTGTCTTTTCACCCCTTCATCGGCTCCACTGTCATTAATGAATCATGCTCATTTTTGTCTTTTGAACGCGAAATTTGCTCCTGGAAGATTAATTGATGGCAATTTTACTTTACAGTTGCAAGAGGGTAGACGGCTTTTAGCATTTGCAATAGAATTTTGATTGAGAATTTTTTGAAGGCTTACTTCGCATGTTTCGAGGTCAATTTGCAGATCATCGAGGCTTGCTTCAAAGGCTGGCACAAATCAGCATCCGAAAGCGTGCTGTAGCATTCTTTGCGTAACTCCTCTAACTTAGAACGTAGTTTGTCCACTGCTTGAAGCTTTTGAATAATATCCGTATTTCTACTGGTACTTCATCTTGTAAGAATGACTTTATTCTCGATATTTGCGATTTTATATATCCTCGTTTTCGACTAAAGACTGTTAATTGCAACAGTTCCACAGGAGCCATTTTCTCATTAGTCATTTCGCCTTTCAAATTTTTTTTGTTTTAAAACAGTTCGAACTTCTCCAGCTCGATGGACCATGTTTCGTGTATCCATCGAATTAGTAGACTGTAAGTTAGTTTTGCAACACAAACTTTAATGAACAGAATTATTTACAATTAAAGAAATTACAGTTACATGGTTTCTTACCGAGAGCAGAAGTATAATTTCTTAATGACTGCGTAGGTCGAGAGTAAAACTGTCCTCGTTGTCTAGAAGATGTCCACTCGCGCCTGCGCAGCGTTGCCACAAAAGTTCAAAGAAATAAATATTTCAAACTCGTAACACTTGCAATATCTGTGAATCTTCATGGCCAGCATCAGTTTGTAGCAGTCCGAAGTTCCATACTTTTAATTTTCTGTAGAGGATTGATTGTTAAGTGTGTTATATATTTGTAATGTATACGAATATACCCACAATATATATTTGAGTGAACTTTCCGAATAATCTTCTTTATCAGAACTTAATTAATACATTCTGACTTTACAAATTTCTAAAGAATGTTTTTTTAAAAGATAAATTGTTATTTTTTATATCAAATTATGTTGAGGGAATGAGCCAATATATTTATGAAAATATGTGTTTCTATTATTAGGATTTTATAAAGTTTTCTAATTGTTCTCATTAAATGGAGATATGAAATTTTTCTGAAATTAAAAATTCTTAATATTGATTAACAAGTACTCTTCCTTTTCTAATTATTATTAATATTATTATTCTGTTATGAAATATTCAAGAGTTTCAAGAATTTTTTTATAATTTGGGGTCTAGAAAACTTAGCATTTGTATCATCTCTGGCTTTTTAAGTGTTTGGGTGTTATGAACCGTATTCATTATTTTAATTGTATATTGAACTCATTATGGACATAGTAATGATCATTATGAAAAAATTTGTTAAACTTGTTTATTTGTCATAAAAGAATTTATGTATGTGCATAGAATTTAATGTGTTTTAAATAGTAATGAAAATTTTAACAGCTCTCTTTTGATGAGGAACGTCTGCAGGAATATCTCTCTGTTCAAGATCTGCTGGAAGATGGTGATAATGAAGCAGTTTTAGTATGTGGATTTTTTTTTCCCTTCATTTTTAATGATTTTATTCATTATCACATATCCCCCCTGGTACCAAAAGTGTCTCTCTCATCATTTGCTCAATGTAGCCTAATGAAGTTTTCAGTCTTTACTTATGAACATTAATTGTACATTTCAAAATAATTCTTATTATTATTAACTAAAAATAGAAAATTTAAATATGGAATAAGAAAACGTGTAGATTTATTGTTTAAAAAAATTCATTTTGTAAATGCACATTTTGATTTTGCACACACATTTGTTATAGTATTTGATCTGCCATTATGCAAGCAGTTAATTTTAAGAATATGTAGAATAAAGTACAATAAAAATTTAACTTGAAAAAAAAAAAGATTTGTTCATGCTTTTTTTATTATTGAAGATTATGTATGATTTATTTTTATTGAAGATTAGGTAATGAATCATGATTTTTCAGTTTGCCTAATGCCTTTTTACCAAGCACATTTCTAACAACTGCTCCAGATTTTGTTCTATTCCAACATGTTTTTGCAGCTACTTTGGAATTTTTGTAAATTTTTAACTTACTTTCAAACTGCAATCAACTTACAGGAATAATTGTGTTTTAACTTCATGGTATATTTGAACTATTTCTGAAGCAATTATTCTAACTCCTTCTTTAGAGTTTGCTTTCATGATAAACTTATCAATTAAAATCTGGATGGTAACACACTGCTTTTACTTTTAGAATGGGATTATTAATGTTGTCTTTCTGCCAAACTTTTATATATCCAATTTTAAAAACACTGTCATATAGTATACTTTTCTACCTGTGAAATAATACTGGCTACTAACCATTCATAATCATTTTTCCAGTTATTTTATATGAACATAATCACTTGGTCCTTTTTTTTCTTATCAGCTGCATAATTTATTTATGGGGATAACAGCCCTTAATAAAATTAGATATGATGATCACAAAAAGTATGTGTAACAAAAAAGTACCAAATTAAAAGTATGAATAATATTATATATAGCTAAGCAAAATAAGTATTTTAGAATGAATGAAACTAAACTAATGCAAACCAAGCACATCCTATATGGAGAATGTGAGGGAAGGCCAAGTGACTGTTAAGCAGTACTGCCAACCCCAATGTACAAATATATAAGGTAGGGCCAGTTTCCCCTTTAGCCAATTAGAAAGCTTTCTGATATTTGACGATCATAATGTCAGGTGGCAGGGGAAACAAAATAACAAATACAGGATGTCTAGAATTAAAGAATTTTAAAGCTCTGTACAAGCAAAACCAGTTATCAGAAAATTGTGAAATTTTATGGTGGACTTAATGAAGGGATGAGAGTATCTTTTAGTGGGGGGGAAAAAAAATAGTTAGTTACAAATATCAGCCACCAGAAGGCATTATATTAAGAAATTACACATTTGGTAGATTATGGTGAAGTACACTATGGCTATCAGCCTAAAGAGTGGGATGTCTATCATGGAGGATTCTAAGGGAAACTGGCTTGTTTATGCATTACACATGAGGAAAACCATAAAAATGCCAATGCAGCCAGCCCATTCGGCTGGAACTGAACCCAGGTCAAATTAGTATTCGCTAATTTTATCACTCAACTGCTTGTGAGGAAATTAACACAAGTTACATACACCTTTACAATAGTTTTACAAATTTTGCACTCCTGCTTAAAAATAAGCAACAAAGGCAGAACACAGAATAAAACAAAAACTATTTTATGGATATATGTGAAATTAATCCAAGAGGTTGGTGTACTATTACTTGGCCACACAGCAAAGAATAAAGCAAAGGCATGCAAAAACACATGTATTACAACCATCACATCGCAAAACACCAAATTAATTGCAAGAATGTGCAATGGAAACATCATGCTACTAACAGTTGTAACACCCTCTATCTGAAATGTGTTGGCAATATTGTTGTTGATCACTTGTTGGGACTTTAGGGCCCACTCCTGTAGTAATGCATGTCGGAGCTCATGGAGGGTGCCAGGTTGCTTACTGCAACCTGCTATCCATCATCCCGACATGTCCCACACATGCTCTGTGGGATTCAAGTCTGGTGATCTAGCAAGCCATGGCAGACGTGAAATGGTTTCACTCTTCAAGTAATTGCTCATCTCTATGTGGATAAGCTTATCACCCATCAATATTGCTTCCCATTGCAGGAATAACCATTGCAGGGAAGCACAAGAGGTTGTGGAATTGCATTGCTGTATTGGAGGACTATGATGGAACCCCCAGGAATCATGCAGAGGTTGGTGCTGTCATTCCTTGCTACTCCAATCTATATAAGTAAGTCTCCTTCTCTGTAATAGTCTCTTTCAATGATCTTTCATGCCCAATAGCATGCCCTTGGCTCTTGCTATGTCATTCCTCTTCGGCAAACATTCTCGATGTTAAATCACAACTAAAGAATATATGGTCCTACTGCTGCTGTGCTGTTAGTGATCTGCGGCATCTTGCACATAGCAACAGAAAGCGAATCATCTAGCACTGTGGTAATCCTCCAGCATCCAGACCCGTGTCTTCTACATGGGTTTTGATCCCTTTGATAATGATTCCATAGCCTGTTTATGACACTGCGATGCACATTCAGCTCTCTCACAATAGTGGATTTTCTTGCACCAGCTTGCAACATCCCGACAACTTTCAACGCATTTCATCGTGCAAATGGTGTCTTTTTTAGCTCATGCTTCCTCTTTGGCTATCTCAGATTGCATGGAACTATTACTACTTGGGAACTGACACATAGGTCTGTCATGCCCCTTTTTAAGGCATTGTGGTGTGACTGCGGGACTGTGCTTTATGCTAATTTTGGTTGTCTATTTGCATTCAGCAATGCAACCTCTACCTCATATGTAAATTGTGTGTTTTGATTCCCTTTTTTACATTTGTACCTTTATTTTTTTTTTTTTTTTTTTTTTTTTTTTATTTTTAGGAGGAGTATATTACAACAAAACATGTTCCACATGATGGCCATCATTTTTAGCTACCATCCAAAATTGTAAGATGCCATGTTCCACAATTTACCGAAGTGTGTTTTTGGAAATGTTGAACATGTGACATGAAATACTGGCTTAAAGATTAAGTTATTCGATTCTCATAACTTACTCAAATGCCCCAAAGCTAAAAATTGCATGGATTGAGGACTTTCTATTGGGCTGGACACACATTGTGAAAATTCCTTCTGATGACACATTCTTCTGTAAAATGACATTTAAGAACATTTATAACACACAATGCAATGTGTTGAGGTGCTCCATCAAGCTTAAAGATTGTGCATGCAAGGCACTGCATGCACAATCTTTAAGCTTGATAGAGCAGAACTGGAACTTGCAGAGCTGGAACAATTTGTTCTCTAAAAACAATACATATAGCTACCTAGTGATCGAGCATATCACTGGACTTGTAGGACTTAAGTCCTCATAGAAGTACAGGCCTAAAATAAATTATGAAGGAAAATCCACATAATGCTGTCGATTTTAGTGAATGCAACAGATCCTATAAGGTAGGGCATGAATTTTCTGATTCCCAGATTTGGCAGTTTTCAGTATTCACTACATCATCCAAATAAAAATCTGCTTTGTGTGTCCAGAAGATATTCCAAAATGTTCTGAATCGACCTCAAAGTAAGCAAGAAGCTGAAGTGAGAATCAAAGTCAAGCATCAAAATCATGAAACAACCACATCACCAGTAGAAGTTTGTAAGGATAATACTGGAGGATATTCTTCAAGATCTTATGGACAGCTGACCATGGCCTATCCAATGCCTGTGCTAAATGCAGAATACTGGTACTAGTCTGAAAGTTTGAAGCTGTGTCCTCTATCATCTGAAGCACAGTCTCCTGTATTTGCTTCTGCAGAAATAGGTTTTCATCCTGTTCCAAGATGAATAGAAAATTATCCTGTTTCTATAAATTTTGTTATTTTCTGAAGGTTTTTATTATTTATTGGACCTTTTTGAATCCCCTTCAAATTCTAAGGTTTCCATACAGCAGCTATTGCAGAGTTAGTGTTTTGGTAAAACAGTTTTACTAATAAAGCATAATTTCATAAACTTATTTAGCATTATTGTGAGCAGCAGCTGCACCTGTAGGCAGCTTTAAAATAGGTTCTTTAATTCTGTACACCCTATTTTTCATTAGGTTATGATGTCAGAAGAACTGTATCACCAAATGAAAATCACAGCTAGAATTGGCTGTGAAGGCAAGCAAAAATTTGGCACCCCCTTGTTCCAACTATTCAAATAACAATATCGAATGTTTATCATTCAGCTGCAATACATTTTTAATTTCTAAATAAATGACATTTAGAATTTTTCTAAATTAAAAAATGACAAGGATGGGAAAGCTGTTTAAATTACAGTCCTTTCCAAAAAAAGGACTATTGGCAACACTCCATTGTGAGAGACTATGCTGCAGCACTTGGTCCTGATTTCCTCCATATGGATGGTAATGCTAGACCTTATCAAATGAGCATCGTTAATAAGTACCTGGAGAGTGAGGGCATTGCTTATATATGGAATGGCAGCTGTATTCCCCCAACCTTGATCCAATTGAAAAATCTTTGGGATGCGTTTGGGCATACTGTCTCTGCACGTTTAACTTCTCCAGCAAGTCTCAATCATTTCGACAGTTCTAATGGATGAATAACAGTTGCTAGTATCTGAAATGTTTGATTCCTTCATACATTGTCTTATGGTGTGTGTGTCTGTGTGTTTTGTTTTGTTTTTTAAGATGGAGAGACATTAATTTGTTAATGATGGAAATTGGCATCATCATATAATTTACATAAATTAGATAGTGTTTTCATCTATGTACATAATGTTTGTTTTCTTTCTTGCATAAATGCATTTTCTACCATCATGTGAAATTTAGTTGTGAATAAAAAGTTCATTTTTCCATTTTTGTTCATTTTACCATCGCATGCTTAACTTTTGGAAGCCACTGTATTTTAAAAGCAGAGAAAATAACTAAGCTGAAATAACTTTGGTTGTGTTGTCATTTTAACAGAGTTTTAAAATTTAACATTTAATAAGTTATACATTTGCATCTTACACCCAATATATTCAGTATAATTGTACGTTGTTTGAATTTTTAATGGTATCTTGAAATAACTGCATGATTTATTTGCTCATTGTAGGCTTTACAAGAACTTGGTTATACTTCTGCAACAGAACTTCAAGCAGGGATAAAAAAATTGAGCTGCAATATTAGAAAAATCAAAAATCAGATTGCTTCACAACAAGATGAACAGCAGGTATTTAAGATATTTCAGTTATATAGATTAATCTGTTTCTTTTTATTTGAAACTATGTCATACAGATAAAAGTACTAAATATTGATAAATAAGGAGAATGAACTTTCTGTTGATGGTAATTTAATTTTTTTAATTAACATATATCTTAACATGTTTGTCTTTATTTGCTGCTTACATTATTTTGCTATTGGCCAAAAAGTGTCAATTTTTTTTTTCTTCTTTTTGTATACCAGTCTTTTTCTAAGTGCAGAAAAAATATTTTAAATTTTTTAGCTTCTGTTGTATATGAAGTTCTCAAACATTTTTAATTTAAAAAAATTCATTTAAGATTTTAATATTAAATTGGCAAAAATATTCTGCATTAAATTTCCTTGTGCTCTTTTTAATTATTATTTGTACTATCTTGATGTAATTTATAAACATCTTTGTTACTATCTTGATGTAATTTATATACATAGCATAACATATACATAACATTATAATTTTTGTGAAGTAAATGTGAAATCTTAATATGCAGATTTGCGTAAAATGTTTTCAACATTTGTGGTTATGTATGTTTCTCAAAAGTTATTTTATTTACCCATAACTTTTCAAAATAGTACTAATTTTTTTAATCTGTAATATATTTTGGCTTTCTTTCAAAATTTTCTTAAAAATTAAGTGTAATTTATTATGTTTACAAGCTGGCATTCCTTTTTAAGGTTAGTTCAAAATATATGTTAATTGCATGGTTTTTGCACCAACCTGCATTTACATATTTCCATTTTTGATATGAGTTTTGTTTCTTTTTGAAATAGTTTTATTTAAAGATGATTTTTAATTAACTGAACAGGAATTAAATGTGGACTTTAATTATTCAGTTTATCTGAGAAACTGAAATCTTTCCATTTAGTATCAGTTATTTAATTTATGCATGAATGAAAACTACAAATTCCATTTGAAAAAAAAAACTTTGCTGAATTGCATAACTTATTTATAGTAAGTATATCATTATTCATAAAGTCTATTTTCAGTAATTTTTTTTGAATTAACCGTGTTAAAAACGTCTAATAATCAGCCTAAACCCAATTATTAACACTACACTTGACACTTTTAAAACTGTAAATGAAATGTGATATTAAATTTCTTCAGCTTAATCTAATATCGGGTTTTAACAAAAGTTTTCTGCCACTGCAAATAGTTCACATTGGTGTGCTTAATCACATTTTGTCGAATGATTTTTCATGTTTGAAAGAAAGAGACTTACTTTAGAACATTGTGTTGTGAAATTTGTACTAAAATATCGTTATCATTAAGTACAAGGTATCTGGAATGGAACTATAATGCTACCAGATTAGTACCATCATTACTTCCAGTTCTGTTGCAAAAAGTCAGCTACAGAATGTTACCAAATCAGGTGTACAGCTTTAGGTACTAATATTGTATCATAGACACTGTGAAGGTTTGGTACCGAAAGTTTAAAAAGAAGGACTATTGACATTCAAGAAGCAGAATGCTCTAGCCAGGCTACTGATGATGAGATCCGCCTGCGAGAACATGTGGAAGAAGAGAGCTTGCTAAAAAGTTAGACATTTATACCATGTCCATTAGTCATACTATGTATCACATAAACCTGACATACAAGTTCAATCACTGGCTGCAGCATGAGCTTACTCAAGCAGATAAGGGCAGATGTTTTCTGGCTTGCATTAATCTGCTTGAATATCAATGCAAGGACAAATTTCTGGACCACATCATCACTTGTTATAAAGAGTGGATTTACTTCAACAATGCAAGCCAAAAAGGGGTTTGGTCTGTGTCGGGTGACCCTCTCGGCAGTGTTGCAAAGTGCAATTTGACTAACAAAAAGATCATGTGTTGTATCTGGTGGGATAACTGTGGTATTATTCGCAAAGAGTATCTGGGAAAAGGTAAAACCCATGACAGTAAGGTGTACAGTGAAGATTCTAGTCTGTGTTGACGCTGCTGTCAAAGAAAACATCAAACTGAGTTCCAGTGTAAAAAGGTAATGCTCTATCAAGATAATGAGAAACCACATGTGTTTGCATTCACCAGCTGGACTCTGTACGGACTCAAATGGGATCTTTTACCACATCCACCATACAGACATTGCTACTTTGGACTTTTATCCTTTTTCACACCTGCAGCTATGTCTTGCTGGTGCTATCATCCATTCATAACCACCAAGTTTCTGCACCAAAGGCTTTGAAAAACTACCAAAACATTGGCAGAAAATCATAGATTTGACTGATGATTACTATCCACATTAAAGATATGGCTTTCATGTTTTTTTTTTTTTTTCCTAACTTTATTAAGAATGTTTTTGGCAAAAAACTTTCATTACAACCAGATATTCACGTCATAACAGGATAAATGACACATCAACCTAAAGCCAGTGTGGTAAAAAATTCAAAACGTTTTACAAATTTAATATATTAGTATTATTTTTTAATTTATGACAAAAAAAGGACATTTTTGAACAAATGATACTTAACCTTCTGAGCGGCACATGATTAGAGATCTGTTATGAAGACTTAGATTTAAACAGCATTTATTATCTAAATTTGTATAATTACTTATTTTAGTCTCTGTTTTTATACACTTACATTCATTAAGGTGACATTTACATTATTAAAGAAAGCAAAAGATCTTAAATTATAAATTAGAAGCTAATATGTGCCAAGTGACAAAAAATCTCATGATCAAATAAAGCTAGTCATGCTGCTTAGAGGGTTAATACTACAGTCAAAAGTCATTAATTGGGACACCCATAATCCGGAATGATCTATAATCCGGACCTCAAAGCTACAAACTTTCTGCGCATGCGTCGCTTTCACGCATGTTCACAGGCATTTAAGAGTGCGCTTAAGACCTTTACGGCTGCAAATATGTTTGTGCGCATGCGCGTTTAATGTGTAACGGAGGTATAAGCTAAGCTAAAATTATCTAATTCAGTTAATGTCGCAGATTGCGTTGTTCCTTAATCTTCGAATTGGATCCGGCTTATTATTTTTTGCAGACTGTTAGAGTAATTTCATAAAAGTAAGCTTGAACTTTCGATTATGTCAAATAGAATTTCCGATATATATTTATTAATATGTTAATTTGTATCTACAAAGCGAAAGTATGTTTGAAATCCGAAATCTGTTTATCAATTTCACGCAGCAGATTGGAAGTTGATCTGCCAGCACTATCCTTATCTTCAGGGCAGATGTTTTTATTTTATTTGGCTTATAATTCCTTACTAAGTGTAGTATTTCATCTCGATGTACTCCATCTTTGATATGATTTAAATCAAGTTCCTCGTCATTATAATTCGCTTCCGATAGTGAAGAAAGTGACCCAGAGGTTATTGAAAACGAAAACATTTCGATTGACAAATTAGTCGGTATTCTCAACACAGCAATTATAGGACTTGAACAGCGGAACTTTGTAACTAAACAAGAAATTATGTCTGTTTAATAGAATTAAAGAGAAAGTATTATCACACGAAACGAAGCAACTTACATTGAAAGAAATGTTTAATAAAGTAAACAAATAAATATTAAGCTTTTTCTTTTTGTAAATTTTGATACCCTTTAGATCATAATTGTTCTTTATTTCATAAATTACGGTTTCATATTTTTAATTTTGTAATTTCTGCATGCCATCTTACCAGATTTAAACTGATGATCTATAATCCAGAAAAATCGATAATCCGGAATCGCCGAAGTCCCGACGAGTCCGGATTAACGACTTTTGACTGTATACAGTTTCCGTACCAAGCTGTGTGGAGCATGCAAGAATTTATATGTATTAAATATCATAAAGGCTGTCACTTCTCTATTTAAAAACAATTCAGCATTAAGACAGTAACGTCATTTTAAATAAAAGTCTGTTATTCATTGAATTATATTGTATTATTTTTTTGTGCTTTCTGTAGGATTCACCTTTAAAGAATTGGTGTGAAGAACTGAATTTAAAGAACTTTTCAGATGCAGATACCTGGATAAATGATGTAAAACAAAAAAGAAAAGTAATGATATTATATGGTTTTATATGAGTTAGTCAGTGATGTGCCAATTGATAGGATTAACTGTATGTTTATCTTTAAGTTTTAGAAATCTAATTCTGATGATATATTTTTTGTGTGTGAAGAAGTGGAGAAGCATAACTATTTTCACAGAAGTATTTCAGCTGGTCAATAAACTTTTATTCAGTAAACAGCTGGTTCATCTGTTACCAGAAATATAAATGCATTTATTTAGATACATATTCTATCCATCCATTTTATGGTGTGTCACTAATTGGCTCAAGTAAAGTTTTGATTGATATGTATAACCTACATGAATGCAGGCACTCAAGCGTCTTTTTATCACAAAATATTTCATACTAAATTATTTTTCATTTAATATACTGCTATCAATTACTTACATTATAGAATATGAATTTACAAAGGAATGAAACAGTTTTTTTAAATATGTATTTTCTTCTAAAGAATGAAACAGAAATAGGTTTTTATACTTACTGACTTAGTTTTGTTTTCCTCTATTATTTCCATTAAGCCTTTTTTGTATAATTAAAGTTTATTCAGACTAGGTTTTTATTGAATATTAGATTGTTGGTAAAATTGTCCATTTTAATAGCAGCATAGAGAAATTAAATTTGAGTTTAGAATGAAATATAGGTTAGAGATGGCAAAAAATTTTAATAATTGCTTTTTTTTTAATGCAGTCTCTTTATTATAATGAGGTTTTTGAAAAAATATTTGATTGCCCTCAAAATTTTAAGCCATCTGGATGTAATTAAAAACATTTGAAAATGTGAAGTTTTATTTACATTGCTGGCAAGAAAGATACCTTATGAATAAGACAGTGAATCATCTTCAAATGATAAAATGTTGTTACACAGAGTTATTCAAAAAGAGTGAACTAAGTTTGAAGTCCACCTTCATGGTCCTCAAGCATCTTCTTGGAATAAATCATTGATGAATTGAAAAAGTATATTTCTAAGTTTTGAACAGTACACTTTGTCATGCATGAGATGCCTCGTTTTCTCTCAGTGTTTAGTTGCTTTATGTACAGAATAGCAACACTGTGGTGGAACAAATCCTGAATGGCCTTGAATTTCAAAGCACAAGTAGAGAATATCCAGAAGGCATTTCATAAAACCCTTGGAAGTCCATAACTCAGATTATCTGTAAATTTATAATCCCAGAACACACTAGTAAAACATGAAATAAAACTTCATTATCAGGAGAACACTTTGCCTGGTCAGAAATTTGAAGTTATTTTCCTAATATAATACGGCTTCATGAAAGCATATTATTCTTTTCAAATAACTTTTTATTTTGTATTCATTACAAAGTCGATCATTCTGTTTTGTATGCTATTGTTTGCCAAGTACTATTCAATGTATTTAAAAAAAAAATTATGTAAAATTTAATCTTAAAAATGTTGATAGCCCTCAGAAATTCCTCTATTCTTTTATTATTTATTATTATTACCATTATTGTTATTTTTTTAATTATGAATCAGTTATAATGCTTAATTACATGGTTTTAATAGGAAGTGGCTGAAGCTCGTCAGAAGTTATCTTCAGACCGATTAAAAAGCACACACATTGGTGGATTCAGCTCCACAACTGCAAATGACTTATTTGGAGGTCAGTTTCATATTAAAAAAAGAGAAATGTTTAAATCTATAAGAATATTTCATAAATTTAATATTATTAGCCCAGAAGGGCTGTTAATTTCGTTTTGGCATTTTGCGTTGGTTCACTATAAATGTCAGTTCACTTTTTCAAATTGTTGCCATCAGATATTAGAGCCATGTGTTATATTTAAAGAAATTAAATAATGAAGAATATGCATAAATGTATGTATGTTTCTTGCATTGTGATAAAACAATGGTACCTAAAGCCATCAAGTTTTGAATAATTTAATCTTCACTGAATCTGGTCATCTGGAAGCCTGAATTTTGAATTTGTTGTACTATCAATTTCATATTTTGTAACACTTTAATGAATTTTTATTAACAAACTTTATGATTTCAAAGCGAGCAATGGCAATACTGTACGGGGGGGGGACATTTTTATCTCCAGCATGCGAGTCTATGTATCAGAAATTCTAAAGATATGCTCTTGCAATATTGCTGTTGAATTGAATTTTATGGTTTAAATCTTTTTATTTGATCATTTTTTAATATTTTTAGATATATTTAATATGAGTTGTCTATATAATTATATGAGCAACAACATATTTTTTGTTTTTACTTCTTGCAATATTCTGTTAAATCTGCCTTTGGTATGTTTAAAGCTTAATCTGTATTTAATGTTAAAGTCAAAAACTTAAAAATTTTATTATCTTTTTGAGAGTCATTAATAGTGTTCTGATTTTTAGGTGTATTTGGTGATCCTGTAGAAATGCAATCATTTCAGGAATATGTAAGTATTAAAACTTCCTATAGACCTAAAAGTTTTCCTATAAATGCATAGTAAAATGTAATCACTTATTCTACTGAGTAATCATAAAATTTCAGGACGACATATGCTATAATGAAAAATTTTGCAAACTGTGTCATAGCAACATTAAGGGAATTTATCTTCATCACAGTATGTTTATCTGCAATACAGGGATTAATTCGCAAGAGCATCAGGTGCAAACAACTAGTTCCATGCATGCTCCGAATTTTAATAATTTTGATATACAAGATATTTGTAGATATTTTCATTTTGGAATATCAGTCATAGATATAATGCAGATGAATAGAAATTTATTTAATTTAAAACAAAATGTGCAATTCATTTTTACAAATGAAGTGTTAAAGATTCATCAGCTCTGCTACAAATTGCTACATGTGTCTTCAGAAATTTGCCCTCTTTCCATTTGGCAGTTTAAGGAGTTTCAAAAATTACAGTTGGCCCTTTGGTTTCCTTCTGATATATATATATATATATATTACAGAAATATAATCCCTACCCTCACATAATCTTTCTACCAAAAAGGATTTTTTTGACCAGGTATATGTAGAAAATATTTGTATCTACAGACTGCATCACTTGCAACTATGCAGTTTTTCACTTCTTTAAAATTTTTAAATGCTAGCAAAATTCAATATGTTTCAAGCTTCTTTAGTGTCTAGATGTGATACATATTCATGTAAGTCAGCCATGAGATGGGCTATTTTCCCAAATGTGCCTTTAAATACTTAAAAATTATATTTAGAGATTGTCATACTTAAAAAAATTGTTCTTTCTTCCATCATAAGTGGGGAACAAGAAATCTGAATCTTCTTGATAGTGTCTCGGTGAAAAACAATTAAATGCGTTTTGGTTTCAAAAAAGTGAACTATTCTATATCATGTACATAATATCTCACATTAAGAAATCTTTTAATAATTAAAATAAGGCTACAAGTTTTCATAAAAGTTATTAGTTGGACAGTAATTAATTAAATTCATTTCTAATTATGTCAATTGAATAGTATATTAAAATAACAGCAAACCAAGATAACTGCAGAGATATTAGTCACTGGTGACCTATGAAAGAAGACCAGTAAGCAAACCGTTAATCCTTCTGCAACCATGCTTATGAGTGATTTAAAGCTCAGGGGGACTAGGACCAGCCAGCACAAATTAATATAATGAGGCATGCAACTTTGCACCACGAGCATTCTCAAATCGAACTAATACTGTTACAGAACTGGCTACTGTGATTCCATGACTGAGCAAAAAAACATAGATTTACCATAGTTTCTCAACCAGGACAATGTTTATTAAATATCCGCAACAAAAAAAAAATAAATAAATAAAAATAAAAATTTGTGGAGTTTGATACGGGAGACATGAAAGATGAGCAATGCCCTTGCAGGACTCAAACCTGGACCTCCCAAATATGCGCGAAGTGTGTTAACCATTACACCATGAAGGCATGCAGAAAGGAGGGACCCTTTTAAACGCCTGCTGAGGATTAGGAGACCCATTCGTGAAATCCTGGTAATGAAGAATCATCATCCACCACCTTTTAGTTCGGTCGCCACTGTAGAATCATTAGGTTATTTTGATGATACAGGAGACATGAAAAATGAGCAATGCCCCCACCGAGACTCGAACCTGGACCTCTCGAATGCATGCTGAGTGTGCTAACCATTACACAACAAAGGCATGTGGAAAGGAGGGAGAGAATAACCTACTATAATTGAAATCTCTAAATAAAGAAGTTGTTACCAAAAACAAAAAAAAACTCAATTGAACTTACTATATTATTGAGAAGTTATTTCAGTAGTATGAATGGTAGTTTATCAGTATTATGAACTTCCGTTAATATTGTTGTTATTTTTAATAGCACTAAAAAAAAAATCACTGCTGTTTTGGTGTGTCTTGTTTGCTGAAAATCTGTTCTATTACTTGAATGGAACAAAGCAATGAAATGTTGTTTGAAATGACCGAAAAGTTGTATCCATTTTTCTTCACAGTTTTATTTTTCTTGATTTCATAATTAGCTGATAAAAATCCTTTTGCAATGACTACTTCATCAAAAACTTTATTGTATAAGTTGCACCCATTGAGTGACCAGAAAATTTCTTGTAAATAAGGAAAAAATGACTAACCTTCAAATGAATTTATCTCCTTCAAAATAATTCGCCAGTGGACCGTGTACAACTTTTCAACATTCTTAAGGTTCTATAAACACTGTTTATAGGCATAGAAACTAATTGTTTGCAAAATAACGTAACATTTGGTTTAATATCCAACACATTTTCAAATCTTTGTCTTTCATGGCCATCTTAAGCTTCAGAAAAAGGGAAGAATCAGCTTGCGATAAGTCAGGAGAATATGGTGGGTAATTTATCACTCCAATTGAATGCTTAACAAGTACTGTTGTGTAGACAGTGCTGTATGGGGCTTAGCATTATCGTGTAAAATGAACCATTACCAGAATTTAAAATTTCCTTCCTAACTCTCCATATCCTGTTTCTTTATCGAAAGAGACGACCTGCTTGTAAGACTACTGATTAATTGATGGATTTTCAGGGACAAATTCATGGTGTGTAAGTCCTTTTTAATCCAGAAATGCAACCAACATCACCTTAGTCTGTTATTTAAGCATCCATACTTTTTTTGGTGGTGTGAGGGGGGGTATGGAGGAAGACAGCTCTTTCCACTATATACTTTATCTTTTTGTTTCTGAGTCTTATTGCAGATACCAGGCCTTATCTCCTGTTGTGATACAAAGAAACTGTTGTTCTGTCTCGCTGTAATCATCAAATCTTTACAGCAAGCTTTTCTGTCTTCTTTTCGCTGTTCTGTCAAAATCCAAGCCAGAAATCACAAACTTTCTTCAGATTTTTAATTAAACTTAACCTGCAGCTTTCTTTACTTATCCCAAGAATGTGTGAAGCTGCTGAGTTGTTACACCTCTATCATCTTCTACCAAAGAACAAATTTTCTTCACATTTTTCTTATTGTTTGAAGGGCACCCCATTGTTGGTTCATATTTAATGCTTTTAAACCTGCATTTAAAGCAGTTTCACCACTCATACATGCAGTATGTCATGAGTGATTGTCTTTTTCACACATTATTCTTGATAATGATGTGTGACCATATACTGTTTGAATCATCTCTAACATTTTGGTAGCCTATTCGGGCTCTTTACAAAAACATTTGGGTTAAAAGCATAGAATAGGCTGCGTCAACAAAATTGAGAAGGCAGAGCCATGGATCTTATAAGAGATAGACTAACCCAGTGGGTGGGGCGCACGTCACCGACATGTCAGCAAGAAAGAGTAGGGACGATCTGGTTTACTTTAACACTGAAACCTATGGCGTGTATATCACATAACTGTTTTTAATTATTAAATGTGATACGTTGTATAGTGATGAGATTATGAAAGTCACGGTTTTTTTCAAATAGGATTTAATATATCTCATTAAGGCACTTTTTACTGCATGTTTTTTCACGCATAATTCTTGTATAAACATCTTTGGTAAAACGGTAAAAACTCTAAGCACAAAATTTATGAACTTAATTTTGCGTAAAAATAAAGTAAAATTAAATAAGATTGATAGCATGTGATGTTTTGAAATAAATAAGGTAAAATTAAACAAGATCTAAATTTAATGAACATTTTCAGGCAGTGATTTTCAAAACTATAATACGTAACATTACAAAACGATTATTTATTTGATTATATCATCATTAAATTATTAACATTAAAGTGGATTATTTATTTTAGTAATTTATAAAATTTGGAGCATAAAATTTTTCGAGTGTAATGAAGGAAACAAAGATAAAATAAAATGTAGAAGCACTCAAATTTTATATTACGCCCAAAAGGAACCTTTTTTTAATATTTTGAGTGTTACCCATATTTATTGAATATCATGTTCTTCACCCGTAAACCACATAAACATTTGAAAACAGCATATCTTTCCGCACTGGAGATAAAAATGTTATTTTCCATACATTGTTACCATTGCTCGCTTTGAACTCGTTGAGTTTGTTAATAAAAAAATTCATTAAAGTTTTACAAAATATGAAATAGATGAAAACAAATTCGAAATCCGGCTGTCCAGATGCCCATTTTTGGGTGGAGGATTATTTTTTTATCAAAATTTGATGGCTCTAGATACCGTCGTTTTTGTCACAGTGCGAGAAACATACATACATTTATGCAGATTCTTCATTATTTAATTTCTTTAAATATAATACAGGGTGATAATATTTGGTAACAAAAATTTGCAAAGAGACATGGACATTTATAGTGAAACAGCGCAAAATGCTGCTTCGAGCTAATAAATTAAATTAACAGTAAATAAAAAAAAAATATTATGCAGAACTAAAAGTAAATTTTAAAAATAATCACTATAAAATACAAGCAAAATTAATTATTACGGTTAAATACAATTTTAATATTAGAATTAAATGTATAAAATTAAGGAGTCAAAAGTGTTTACCACTATGATGTATTATGAAATATAATTGAAATAAAATTCCTTTAGAGAAATTGTGCTATAATACTCATCTATAATTTTAAAAAAGCAGCTCAATTTAGAATTTTAAATGAAACTTTCAAAAATTCGTTTTTAAATATTTTAGTATTTTTTACTTATTTACACTAATAAAAAGCATAAAAATTGCAAGAGAAAAATTGCTTGTTTGAAATTTTCTATTAGTTCAGATTAAAAATATTATTTTCTAAAAGTAGTAGTTACAAATTTCCTTACAGCATAGAAAAAGCTAAAAAAAAAAAAAAAGTATCCAGACCTGAAAGCATGCAATAGCTTTATATTTATTTGGAACGCTAATTATGCTTGATAAATATACTAAATTTTTAAAAATAAATCTCAGTTTCAAAAATAAAAATATGGAGAATTTCTAATTTGTGAAATGAGGCACTATAACCAACTTTTTCTTGACAATTATACACGTTGCAATAGGCAACCACTGTTAAATTTCTGCAAGTCATCCCTACTCCTCCGTATGTGATCAAGGTGACAGCCGGGAATGCGTCAGACATGGGAGAAAACCCATTTGGGTTGGTCTATTTCTTATAATGTCCATGGGCAGAGCTGTGTGACGTCCATAAATGGATGGGACTAAGCTTGTGACGTCACAATGTTTTATCGCATTTACACTATGCGTACTTTCTATTTTCTCTGAAAAATAGCAATTATGAATTGTTTATTATTGTAAATTAATATCAAATTCTTTATATTTATAACATTTAAGCTTAGGCTTTACTGAAAATGAGTATAATAAATTGTTTATAATTAAAATTACCATGATACAGTGAGTAAAGTCTACCAATTATTAAAACGATAAACAACATCGTAGTCTCTCATACTTGTGCTTCATACAGCTTCAATATTTTCAAAGATTTTTAAGCTTTAGCATTTATGCAAATACAAAAAGATTTTTTTTAATTTAAATTCATATTGTGGAACATTTTTAATTTTATCATTTTTACAAATTACCTTATTGCTATGTAACGACATAATTTCTTACATACCAGTGATTAGACAATTTCATTATTTTCTAAAAATTGTAAATTTTACATTAATAAAAAAGAAGAATATTTTTAATTGCATATGAACATCATTACACAGCTTTCTTATAAGTTTTTAAAATTCCTAAATCATGCCATATTCTCTGTAAACATACTAGAATTCTATACATTAATAAATAGAAAAAAACTAATTTCTCACAATAAAATAAAACAATATAAGAAAATAAATACTACAAATTTGGAACGCTAAGCAATGCTTCACATACGCAAACACACATATTATCAATGAACCCATATTAGAGTGAAATTACGATACCAAACACTACGTATTAAAATAATGAGGTAAACGTTACTTATAGGGTCAAAGTTTACAGTTTTGCTGCTGTTGAGTAGATCATCGGACTATCAATATTTATTGTAAGTCGTAAAGCATTATCAACATATCAACACCAAACAATTAAAAAAACAATTTAAATAACAAAAATGATGTCTCAAATATGATTTACGATGAACACAACAATACCAATTTAAAATACACAAACAATATATTAAGCGTTGCACATAAAAAAGTTACATTACTGCTCGACATCACACACAACCTCGTTTTTCCTTGTACACCACAATTCGTATTCGCTCGAAAAACATCAAAGAATTGCACAAACTCAGTGTCAATCTGCACATCCATCTATTTTCACTTAAAAAACATCAGAGAATAGCACAAACTCGGCATTGTGCACTACATTAGCTTTGGCCCATGTACACAACGATATATTTTCACTTAAAAAAAAAAACAGAGAACTGCACAAATTCGGTGTAGTGCACAAGCTCGGCTTTGCCCATGTACACATTGTTCTATTTTCTCTTAAAAAAACATCAGAGAATTGCACAAACTCAGCATTGCACACTACATTGGCTTTGGCCATCTACACATCGATCTATTTTCACTTGAGAAACATCAGAGAATTGCACAAACTTGGCATTGCGCACCACATTGGCTTTGCCCATGTACATATCTATCTATTTTCACTTAAGAAAACATCAGAGATTTGCACACTACATTGGCTTTGGCCATGTACACAGCGATCTATTTTCACTTAAAAAAACATCAGAGAATTGCACAAACTCAGCATCACGCACAACCTCGGCATTGCGCACCACGTTGCCTGGCCATGTACACAGTGATCTATTATCACTGGAAAAAATCAGAGAATTGCACAAAGTCAGCATCGCGAACAACCTCGGCATTGTGCACCACGTTGGATTTGCCCATGTACACATCGTTCTGTTTTCACTTAAAAAAATAGAATTGCACAAACTAGACATTGTGCACTACCTTGGCTTTGCCCATGTGCATAGAGATCTCTTTTCACTTAAAAAATCAGACATTGAATAAACTCTGCATTGCTCATATACTCAGAAACCTGCTTTCACTTAATTGGAGAATTGCAGAAATTTGCGCATAACCAACTCCATTGATTCAAGTGATAAAAAAAAATGTTTCCATTTACACAAAATGAAATTACACAAAATGAAAATAAAGCCACAAGAATGAAGTAACTACCGGATATCCAAATTGCCATATTTGATAAGCACCCGATATTTTACTTAATAAATGAAACTTACCTTCAGTCATCTCCTTTTGCACCCCATCACATTCCCCTTCAAACACGCCACCCAACACCACATTCTTCTTCAAGCATAACTCTATGCACACTTCTCTACAAAAACTTTTCCAATCTGTCAACGTATTTTTAGCAAGTAATTCCGATCCTATAAAATCATTCCTGTACTTACCTAAATACATATAGGTAACTCACATTATACCACACATGCTCGATTTACTCTTCGCAAACCACGAGTGCTTTCAAACAGACCATGTAATTCGATGCTTACATTAGCCTCCAGTAACTCTACACATCCACTCAAAACCATCTATACAGTTCTTTTGCTCTACTAGTTTCATATCAGTTTCAAAAATTGGACATTTATATGGATTTGCAATGAAACGTTTCTCCATACACCACTCAATCACGCTTTTTTTACCGCTTCACTCCAACTGAAAAAAAAATTCCAGATTCAGATAATCATCTATTCTGCACTAAGCACCGAATCAGACACACTCATCAAAAACATTCTTTCTTTTCTCTATTTTGAGAAGTTACTATTATAATTTTTAAATCATGCATTCAATATTTTCATTCGTTTGATAATGTTCGTTTTCAATCGTTTGGTATCTTAATAATACATTTGTGAGAGATAACTCATTGCGTTAAATGCTAACACTACCACACAACACACAAAAGTAGATTTATAATTTAAAAAATCTTGCGCAGAACATTATAAACTTAACATTTCAATTCAGTTAAAATATAATTTTTCTTCAAATAAGAAGCTATGGCATACTTCTAACTTGTTTTTAAGAAGAGACGTAACCAATATTACGTCATAAAAAGGTGTGTCCAAGTATAAGACAAGTAAACACTACATCGACTGATGCAGCCTATTCTGCAATTTAGCCTCATAATTAAATAAAGCGATTTTTGCGGCAACGTTCTTTCTTGGTGTAGTATGCAGTATACACGGGATTTAGCAATATTATTATGAGTAGTAAATGATTATTTTGGTATTGGCGGCCATTTTCAAAAATGTGCCAAGGCTCGTACCGTATTTTAGGATTTTACCGCAAAATCTTTTAAACCTTATGTTTTCTTTTTAATAAATGCCTTATTTGTCATTTTGCAGTAAAATAAAAAAAAAAATAATATTCAGTCATCTAGGCTAACCATTTAACATAATTGTATTCACCAAAACAGTGTTGATTATTGTAATTCAGTTTTTAATCTTCAAGTAATTAACTTTATTTTAATGTTATTCGTATCCTTTAATGTTGCTTCTTCCTTCTAAATTGATTTATTATTAGTTAATAATACTTTCAAATTTCAGCTCCTGAAATGAATTCTAACAGTATGGTGGCATACCATCATGAAATTTAATACCCACCCTTTTTTTCTTTATATATGCGGCTAAATAAACATAAAATACCTGAATTTATTTCAAACTATCATAAAATAGATTTCTTTCTTTCATTTAGTTGCAAAATTGCTGCAAAAAAAAAAGACATTTTTTAATCCAGATTGAGCAGGTTCTAATCTCAATCTTCAGTGGAGAAAACAATTATTATAGTTATAATCATAATCCTTTGAGAATAAGTCGTATGTAATTGCCAATTTTTTGTGTTTTCGAGTAGTAGCATAATTAATTTACCTCTCAGCAGAGCCAATGCTCACTACGCAGATAGACTGGAATTTTTCTTAAAACATGCCTGCAAAACCTGAAAAAATCAGGGAATTTCATTCTCCTGTTTGAGTGGCAACCCTGATATAATTCATCTATTATAATTTTACAAGTTTTTGAATGTTTCAGTGTATTATAATTATAGTTAATATATTTTTCAACATTATTTTTATTTCCATATAGTCACTGAATATTAAAGTTACAATGAATTAATGAGTTAAATATTTGATTTTTGATTTGCAAGAAGTTTCATTCAATGCTGTTGCACATGATAAACTACATCAAAATTGCACTGAAAGGGGGCCTTTCACTGGGCTCATCAGCGTAATCAGCTGAATTTAAATAAATAGCCTTTTGTGTTCTTCAGTTTTTAGGGTTGCTTTACTTTTTACAGTGGGTGTCCAGGTATATTGGAACTTTAATGAGAGCTTTGTATTGCAACATGACCTCATGGTAATAAGAGTATTCCATGATGGTTGGCAATCCAACAAGTACTGCAATTTTTATTTGAATATATTTTGACATAGGTTTGAAAAGCATTATTTGGCAGTAGCAGTCCTTTTAAATAATAATGGGGTTTTTTGAATTTTTCATTCATTAATTCTAAATGTAATTTTTCTAGATGAGTGGAAATATTAACTTTTTTAATTGAATTTTATAAAAAATTTTCTCAAGAATATAAAGTCAAAAATATAAAGAATAAAAATTTAGTGTAATTGACATTAAAAACATTTACTTTTACCTTGGGATTTCTTTGTGCAGTATTCTTGAGCATACTTTTCTTGACAAATTATTGAATCATGTTGCTGTGCACATTCATAAAGTATTTGCTTACAAGCACTTACAGTATGTTTTATAATTTACATTTCCAGTAACTTTATAATAATCCTATACTTTGATTGAGATTGTGAGTTAAATCAATGCTGTGTATTATATTACTCTGCATTAAAGATAAATTTCTCTTTCTTCTGATCATTAGACAATGGAGCTTGAAGAAAAGAAAGAACAAATTAAAATTTTAGATGAAATCTTGGCTGAATATAACAAAGAGTTTTCTAAGTATGTTTATATTTTTTTAATTTGTAACATTTAAGTATATATATATTTTTCCTCCAGGTGAACAGGTTATCAGTTTGCTGTTTTACTAACTGTAAAATTTCTTAACTGCTTATTTTTAGGTCAGAAGCAAATTTTTCTTTCAATTTAGCTGAATATTATCAGTTGCAGCTGGGTATTGAACAAATAAGGTATGTGAATTTTCAATCATAAATGTTATCAAAAACTTGACATGTTTTAAAGGTAAAGAGATTTATAAATTAAAATAATCTAAATTTCTTGGAAAAGAAAAAAAAAATACATATAATATTTCATAGGAATATAGAAATGTTTTCATTTAGTGCTTTTATGATAAATATAATTTATTGGTTATAAATAAATTTGTGATGAAGTACAATAAATTAAAAATCACAACAAATGAATGAAAAAATTGCTTTTTGCATTAAATGTTTGCAAAGCTTAAATCATACCCTATTCTTTGTAAAAGCATTTTTCATGAATAAATTATCTATTAAATTCATATCAAAATTTTACCTTGAAACAAAGAAAACTCTATCCAAAGAATTGAAAACGTAAGTCAAATTATAAAATGCTTTAGTGAAAAGACTTAATCCAAATGGAATTTAAATATAAACTCACAAGAAATAATTAAAAACTTCAAGTACTTCGAGAGAATAGAACCAAAACTTTGAAAAAGATCACTAGTGAAACCAGTAGATTTGTCAGTTTGGCATCATTGGCAAAATTGTATTATGTTTATTTTAAGAAATTGTTTTGTAATAATAATATATATACATATTGGTGTAATATTTAGTAATAACTTGGATAGATATATGAAAATAGAACTATAATGAAAATAGAAAATAGGTATTGCAGTTCTTTGTAATATAATACATTCTATGATTATAAACAAATGGTCTATAAAAACTAAAAGTGCACCCTCATTATTCTATACGGTGTCAGGAGTATTTTGCTTTCAAAATGGAAAGTTTAAAACCACCAAAGCTGATGAAATTTGATGATCTTGCTTCAAATTGGCAAAGATGGCTGCAATCATTCGAAATATATGAAGTAGCTAGTGGATTACATAATAAAGAAGAAAAGGTAAGAGTTAATAATTTTCTTCATGTAATAGGAATTCGTGGTTTTGAAATATATAATACATTTCCTATAGAAGAGGGTAAAGAAATTAAATGATGTGAAATTAAGACAAAATTTACGGAATACTGTATTCCTAAGAAAAACATTACATATGAAAGACATTTATTCTTTACTCGAAATCAAACCGTGTCAGAAACCATGGATTACTATGTAACTGACCTTCGAAATAAAGCTCGAACATGCGAGTTTGCACAATAAATGGATAGTTTAATAAAGGATAAAATTGTTTGCAGTATTAAAGATTATGTAGTGAGAGCAAGATTGTTACATGAAACAGAATTAACATTAGAAAAAGCTCTTGATATATGCAGATCTGCTGAAATAAGTGCACATCAAATGAAATTCATAAAAGATGAGGAAACTGTTGTAAACTTAGTGAAAAAGAAACTAAGTAAACATAATAAAAATACCTACAAAGGAGTAAATGCCAAGAAACAAAAGACAAAAGTTTGTTCTAAATGTGGAACATCTCATGAGTATCGAAAATGTCCAGCATATGGAAAAATCTGTCATAAGTGTAAAAAGGCAAATCATTTCACGAATCATTGTAAAAGCTATATAATAAAAAATGAAGCAGTCAAGGTAAACAAAAAAAAAAAAAAAAATAGACAAATTAAATTAATAAATCATGACTCTGAGGCATAGTTAGAATTTTATGTAGGCACATTAAACCTTAATTCAGATAACAAGCAAGAGAAATCGACTGTTGACGTTAATGTAAATAAAAGCAAACTAAATTTGCAGTTAGATACTGGAGCAATGTGCAATGTTATTTCTAAAAGCAAAGTGAAATTGCTTAATGTTCGTATACAGAAGTCTGAAATAAAAAGATTAGTTACATTCTCTGGGAATAAAATGAATACTTTAGGAAAAGTAGTACTTGACTGCCAATATGGAAAAAATAGTTATGTTGTGGAATTCCAAATTATTGACAAAGAAGTATCTTCTATATTAGAAATAAAATCATGTTTGCAGCTAGGTTTGATTCAAAAAGTAATGTCTGTTTACACTGAAGACTTACTGGAGGAATACAAAGATGTATTTGAAGGAGGTTGGGTTGTTTGAATAATGAATATAAAATCCAGTTAAAACAAGATGCAACATCAGTAGTTCATCCTCCAAGAAAAATACCCATAGCTATACGAGATAAAGTTAAGAAAGAATTACAAAGAATGAAAAAATTAAGTGTTATTGAAAAAGTGAGAGAACCAACTGAATGGGTAAATTCAGTAATCACAGTTGTCAAACCTAATAAAATAAGAATATGTTTAGATGCTAGAGATGTAAATAAAGCTATAAAATGAGAACATTATCCTGTGTTAACCATTGAAAAAGTTCTCATTAGAATGCCAAACGCAAAAATATTTTCTGTTTTAGATGCTAATAGTGCTTTTTGGCAAATCCAGCTTGACAAAGAAAGTAGTAATTTGTGTACATTCAATACACCTTTTGGCCGAGACAAATTTAAAAGATTACCTTTTGGCATATGTTCCGCTCCAGAAATTTGAGCCAAATAATACAAATTAAAAAAAATAATACAGTACACTAAAAAATTAAGCCAAATTAATTAAGCCATAGAGAAAATTAAGCCAGATAATACAGTACACACCCGATTATCCGCAGAATTGGGTGGCGCGGCCACTGCGGATAACAAAAATTGCAGGTAATCCGAAAAAAGCTAAAAACGGGTATTCCGAAAGAGAAGACAGTCATTACAACTTTGAAAAATCATTTTATGTACAATAAAACGTAAAATAAACAGCAGGAAATGTTTAACTAACGCTTAATATTTTAGTATACAGTCAAAAGTCATTAATTTGGACACCCATAATCCGGAATGATCTATAATCTGGACCTCAAAGCTACAAACTTTCTGCGCATGCATCGCATTGACGCATGCGCGTAAGACCTTTACGGCTGCGAATATGCGTTTGCGCAAAATATGTGTACGAATGTGCGTTTAATGTATAACAGATGGTATAAGCTAAGCTAAAATTATCTAATTCAGCTAATGTTGCAGATTGCGTTGTTCCTTAATCTTCAAATTGGATTCGGCTTATTATTTTTTGCAGACTGTTAGAGTAATTTTATGAAAGTAAGCTTGAACTTTCGATTATGTCAAATAGAATTTCTGATATATATTTACTAATATGTAAAGATCTACAAAGCGAAAATATGTTTCAAAGTCCATTAAACAAAAAGTGGAATTGCTGTAAAAAATGGATAAAGGCATATCCTTTGTTTATCTAAACTTTAACGTTTGTTTATCTAAACTTTGTTTATCTTTAACGCCGCGGCACGCAATGAATTGGAAGTTGATTTGTCAGCACTATCATTATCTTCAGGGAAGATGTTTTTATTTTATTTGGCTTATAATTCCTTACTAAATGTAGTATTTCATCTCAATGTACTCTGTCTTTGATATGATTTAAATCAAATTCCTCGTCATTATAATTCGCTTCCGATAGCGAAGAAATAATAGAGGTTATTGAAAACGAAAAAATTTCGATTGACAAATTAGTCGGTATTCTCGACACAGCAATTATAGGACTTGAACAGCGGACCTTTATAACTGAACAAGAAATTATGTCTGTTTATAGAATTAAAGAGAATGTATTATCACATAAAAAACGAAGCAACTTAAAAAACTTACATTTAAAGAAATGTTTAATTAAGTAAACAAATAAATATTAAGCTTTTTTTTTTTGGAAATTTAGGTACCCTTTAGATCATAATTGTTCTTTATTTCATAAATTACGGTTTCATATTTTTAATTTTATAATTTCTGCATGCCATCTTACCAGATTTAAACTAATGATCTATAATCCGGAATCACCAAAGTCCTCCTGAGTCCGGATTAACGACTTTTGACTGTATCACTCAAAACTAACATAAAATGCATTTTGTTAATGAAAACAGAAAAGTGCTTTGTGCTTAATAGAGGCGTCAAGGATACACAGAAAAATTAATACATATGTACTGTTTTAATACTGTAATGTATTATGTAATTACAAAAGCATAACTGTAAAAATACACCTTTTTGGAGAAATCAGTCATTTGTGTTTGCTTCTTGCCTTGGAAGCATTTTCTCTTGATCCGAGATTGCATTTTTCGTAGCATAAGTTTCTCTGCCAACTCCGCGTCGTCTTGTTCTTCCAAATAGCTCAGCAGTCCGTCGACTTGTTGCAAAGCCGTTCCGTCAGTCTTCCGCATCTGCACAGTGGGCTCGTCTTCGCCTTCACTTTGCTGTCCTTCATTATCGGTCTCTCCCCTTGCTTTCTTCACAATTTCATCATTTGTCATGTTTTCGAAGCCAGGTTCATTGACGTCACACTCCAATCACTCATTAATGTTTTCAGCATCGACGTTCTCACCACCCGGAACTGTTTTTACCATATCGGCAAGAGTCGCCGGGGGCGTGTCTACATCTTCATTCACTTCTTCACAACTCAAAGGGGTTAGGTTGTTGTGTGCTTCAACATTAGGCATGAGTTTTCTCCATGATTTTATGAGGGTTGACGGTCACTCAGTCCCATGCAGATGCAATATTGTAGATGCTGTCCAAGATTGTATAGGGTTTCCAAAACTCTTTCAGGTCATAACCTTCTTCAATTTTGTTCATTAGCCAGCTTGGTTCAGTATGTTCTCTTCATTGTTGCAATGACTCCTTGGTCCATGGGTTGGATTAGCTCAGTAATGTTTGGGGGAAGAAACTTTGCAAAAATTGGTCCATCAGAAGACTTTAGCACGCTTGTTGCTGGGTGAGAAGGTGCGTTGTCGATCAATAGCACAACTTTTTCAGGCAGGTTTTTCGATTTAAGATGTTTACGCACTTAAAGAACAAAGATATTTTTCGAACCATTCTTGAAAATGTTTCGGTTCATCCATCCTTTTTTTTTTTTGGTTAAAGTAATCAACAGACAAATTTTCTATCCTTGTGCCTTTGAAAGATCTCGATTTTTTTTACTTTCCAGTGATGAAAATTCTAAGTTTATGTCCCCTGGTAGCGTTATTGCAAGACATGAGAGTG